CAGGAGGGCAGTGATCGCCATGATTCCCACCATTGGAGCAGGTTGGGGGGCTCCCGGCTGGCCTGAGGGGTCAAAGTGGTCTTCCCAGAGCAGGCGCTCCCTGCAGCTGACCCTCCTCCTCTCATGGCATTGGACGCAGCAGGCCTCCCGCCTCACGGCACACTCTTCCTCTTGGTTCCAGGACCCCCTGCCCTCCTGGTTTTGCCCCACCCCACAGGCAGATTTGCTAGGTCACCCTCGTCTTGGTGACCTCTGGCCTCCAGTGCAGCCGGGGCCCTTCCTCCGAGCCCTTCTATTCTCTGCCTGTGCTCCTGCGGCGAAGGCTCTGCTCTGCAGGTCCATTCCCAGTCCACAGAATCTGAGGCTCAGACCCCTCCCCAAGCTCCAGCTCATGCTCCACAGCCCCGTATGGGGCCTGAGGGCACTGCCACCTCATGCATCCAGAGCACTGCTCCTCGTCCCCAAGCCCTCTACGTCCCAGCAAATGGGCTCCCGATGCTCAGGCCGGAGACTTGGAGTTGTGTTCACTCTTTGCTCTCCCACCCACCCCTCGGCGAGCCCTGCACTCAGGCTGCCCAGGATCCAGTCCCTTCCCCGGGGCTTCCTGGGCGTCCAGGGCTCAGGGATCCATCAGTGTCTCCCGGAATAAGGGTGTCTGCTGCCATCATTTTTTTTTTTTTTTTTTTTGGCAACAGAGTCTTGCTCTGTTGCGCAAGCTGGAGTGCAGTGGCAAAATCTCAGCTCACTGCAACCTCTGCCTCCTGGGTTCAAGCCATAGCTAGGATTACAGGTGTATGCCACCATGCCTGGCTGATTTTTGTATTTTTTTAGGAGAGATGAGGTTTCATCATATTGGTCAGGCTAGTCTCGAAGTCCTGACCTGATAATCTGCCCACCTCAGCTTCCCAAAGTGCTGGGATTACAGGCATGAACCACCATGCCTGGCCCCTGGCTCGTCTCTATGCTGTCTGTCCAGCCAAAGCATAGCCCTTGCCGGTGGCGGGGGCGGGGTAGGAACTGAGTGTCTCCAGAGCTGGGGAGCCTGGCATGCAGTGCATGCTTGTGGAAGGAATGACAGGATAAATGCACATGAGGACCTGGAATATAAGCCAGAAGTGGCCAGAGTGTGAGGTAGGCAAGGCCACATTATCGCTCCCATTTTACAGAGGAGGAAACTGAGGCCCGACAGGCTTCCTGAGCTGCTGATGGCAGCAGCCCTGGTGTGCGGAGCTGGATCTCAGCCCACACCTGGTAACTCCCTGCCCCACCACTGTCTACTAGGGAGGGAGACTTGGGCCACAGAGAGCTGGGTGTGGTGGGAGGAGCCACATTAGTGATTCATCTGAAAACCACAGTTGAAAGGGCAAATGCTGGTCCCAAGGACAGAGCACTCGGTGGGCAAGATGGGCAGGGGTGGGCAGGGAGCAGAGCAGCCCTGCCCCCATAGTGCAACGGCGCCCATCTGAGTTTTCAAGAAGGCTCCCTCCCTGTTCCACGGGACCCCTTGCCCCGGCCCAGCCTCCCCAGCCTCCCCAGGAGGCCTCTTTTCTGGAGATCCTGCCTCCTCCCCTTGCCAGCCCCAACCTACAGTCTTCCCCACATCTGTGGCAGCAGAGGGAGGCTTATACAATGCAACTGCAGCCACTTCCCTGCCCTGGTGGCCCCCACTGCCCTCCGGGTAGACGCCGTGGCATTTGCCCTCCCGTGGCCCCATCTGCGCTGGCCTGCGGCCCACCTCCTTTCCATCTGACTCTCCGTCCCTCTGTGCATTCCTGACACATCGTGACACTCCTGCCCCTAAGCTGTTTGCCATGCCTCAGACACCTTCTCAGACTGGGAGAGCTTAGAAATTCCTCCTGTGTTTTCAGAAGACTGCAAGATGGCCCTGAGACGTCTGCGGCAGTCCCCTGTAGACCTGGGGCCCCTTGCTGGGGCCCTACAGCGGCACTCACCTCTCTGGCAGCCCCAGAAGTCTCACTGACAGAGCCTCGAGGCCAGGCCTGGGTCTCTCTCACCACAGGGTCCTCCATGCCTAGCCCAGGCCCAGGACCAGGGAGGGACACAGCTGAGCTCCAGGGACCGTACTTTCCAGCCCCAGCAGGGCCAAAGAGCTGAGCCCAGGTCAGCCTCGCAGGAGAGCCACTGCCCGTGAGCTCACAACCTCAGCCCTGGCGGTGTCCAAGCTGGCCAGCTCAGGGAGGACACAGACACTAGGTCCCCAGCTGCCTGACAAGAGGAGGCACCAAGGTGCCCTGGAGTGGAGCACAGCCTCTGACTATGACAATGTCCTCAAGAAGCAGGTGGTGCAGTGGAGGGGACCCTGGGTTTGAGGACACACATCTGGGTTTGATCCAAGGACAGCTCTTTACCAGATGAACAAGCCTCAGTTTCCCCTCTCTGTTTTCTTTTGTTTTGTTCTGTTTTGTTTTGTTTCTGAGAGTCTCACTCCTTTTGCCCAGGCTGGAGTGCAATGTCGCAATCTCGGCTCACTGCAACCTCCGCCTCCCGGGTTCAAGCGATTCTCCTGTCTAAGCCTCCTGAGTAGCTGGGATTACAGACGCCAGCCACCATACCCAGCTAAATTTTGTAATTTTAGTAGAGATGAGGTTTTGCTATGTTCGCCAGGCTGGTCTTGAACTCCTGAGCTCAAGTGATTCACCTGCCTCGGCCTCTCAAAGTGCTAGGATTACAGGTGTGAGCCACCGTACCTGGCCCCCTCTCTGTTAAATGAGCAATTCCATGCCCACCTCCTCAGGCTGGTTTGAGAATTAAATGGAAATAAGGACAAGTCCCAGCAGACTTTGTAAACTATCAAGTGCTCCGCAGATGCCAGCACTTCTCTGAGTCTGTGAGGCTTACGTGTTCTAACAAAGCAGGGGAGTGAACACTCCAGCTCCCGTCTCGTCAGTATCTTGGTGAAACACAGACCTGGATTCAAATCTTGCCTCTGCCACTTCCTGGCTTCGTGGCCTCGACAAGTCACCTGCCCTCTCTGAGCCTCCTCTCCCTCAGGGACAGAACCAGATGATGGGAAGACTCGCCTGCAGGTTTGTGGAGAGGCCCATGAGAGAAGGCAGGTCAGGTGTTCAGAGCCCTACCTGGCTCCATCCTCTGAGCCATTATGTGCTGTGACTGGGGATGGCGCCGGCTTCTGCCTGAGAGTTAAGTCGCTCTCAACAGCTAATCCTGCAGTAAATGGGCTGGGGTTTGGCAGGAGGCCAGGGTTTTTAATTAGCTCCTGCTCTGAGATGAGGCAGTTGTGGCTCCACTGTCAGCAGTGACAGTGTGGTGCCTGCAATGAGCAGGGACGTCCAGGCCACCTCCCTCTGCCTCCGGAGGGCCGCCTGCACCGCCTCCTGACCTGCCCAGGCTTCACCTTCCCAGCGGGCCCAGCCCAGCCTCCACCATGACCATTAGCGCTCCAGGCAGCAGCCAGTGGGTGCTTTCTCCAGCGCAGCTCTGACCTGGCTCCCACTTCCAGCCCTCAGTTATTTCCTACGCTCTTCACGCAGCCTGCACGGCCACTCCGGCCCCTCCCGGGCAGGCTCCCCTCTCTGGCCACACTGACCTTCTCTCTCTCTCTTTTTTTTTGAGGTGGGGTCTTGTTTCATCACCAGGCTGGAGTGCAGTGGTGTGATCTCGGCTCACTGCAACCTCCACCTCCCGGTTCAAGTGATTCTCCTGCCTCAGCCTCCCAAGTAGCTGGGATTACAGGTACCCACCACCACGCCTGGCTAATTTTTGTATTTTTAGTAGAGAGGGGGTTTTGCCATGTTGGCCAGGCTGGTCTTGAACTTCTGACCTCATGATCTGCTCACCTCAGCCTCCCAAAGTGCTGGGATTACGGGCGTGAGCCACCGTGCCCAGCCTACGCTGACCTTCTCTAAGAGCCTCAGGACCACCAGGCCTTGGCACATGCTGCTCCCTCTACCTGGGGCTCCCTCCTCCATCTCTTGCTAAATGAACTTGCCCTCAGGATTTCACCTTCAATACTGCTTCTGCCCAGTGGGGCATTGGTTTCCTCCTTGTGTGCCAGAGGCTCCATGACCCGCGATCAGCCCACAGACCATGTTTTGACAAAACTGCTGGTTCATCCTCTATCTCTTCACTGGCCCCTAAACTTCAGGAGGCTAGGGACGGTGCCCACTTCCTCACACTGTGTGCTGGTTGACTGAGGACCTCCTAAGCGCCACCTCCTTAGCACCAGGCACCTGCTCCCTGTGCTCTCCTTGAGTCTTTGCAACAATCTCACAAAGGAGGGTTATTGCTGAAGAGACCAAGACCCGCCGCCAGGCATGGTGGCTCACGCCTGTAATCCCAGCACTTTAGGAGGCCAAGGCGGGCGGATCACCTGAGGTCAGGAGTTCAAGACCAGCCTGGCCAACATCATGAAACCCTGTCTCTACTAAAAAATACAAAATTAGCTGGCCATGGTGTCACGCACCTGCAGTTCCAGCTACTCGGGAAGCTGAGGCAGGAAAATCGCTTGAACCTAGCAGGTGGAGGTTGCAGTGAGCCAAGATTTCACCACTGCACTCCAGCCTGGGCAACAAGAGCGAAATTCCTACTCAAAAAAAACGAAAAAGAAATCCAGGCCCAGAGAGGGGAACTGGCTTGCTCGAGGCCAGAGCCAGTGACTGCAGGGCAGGACTGGACACCAGGCCTGGCCGGCGCCACTAGAGGCCCACCCACGACAGCCAGCTTGGTCCCTGGGGCCCTGCCCCACTGGCACCGGGCCCAGTAGCTTGCGTCCCTACAAGCCAGGTACTCCTTCCAGGGACCACACATCGTGTGGGCCTTTTCTATTTCCTGTGTCTCCAGGTGCTTGAGTGGCTTGATGCAGGTCTTGGAGGCATTTGCCATGTTTCACTGGAGAGGGTGAGTGGGAGGGATGGAGCGAGGAATCTCTGCATGGCCTCATGACAATCTGCCATCCTTTCCCGTGGTGGGGTCTGCATGGGAGCCACTCATCCGTGGCCCTGACTCCTTTCTCCCTACAGAGGCAGATGCAGGCTCCACGGAAGGACCCCGCCAGGAAGCGCCCAGCTCCAAGATCTGCCAGCAGCCCCAAGGAGCCTCCTGCAGAATCCGTGTACACAGTGAGTCCCGGGGCCCAGGCTCCCTCCACCGCTCTCAGGCCCGAGGCAGGGTCTGATTCCCTGGCTCCATCCTTTTCTTTCTTTCTTTCTTTCTTTTTTTCTTTTTTGAGACAGAATCTTGCTCTGTCACCCAGGCTGGATTGCAGCGGTACGATCTCGGCTCACGGCAACCTCTGCCTCCCGAGTTCAAGCAATTCTCTTGCTTCAGCCTCCTGAGTAGCTGGGATTACAGGCGCATGCCACCACGCCCGGCTAATTTTGTATTTTTAGTAGAGACAGGGTTTCACCATGTTGGTCAGGCTGGTCTTGAACTCCTGACCTTGTGATCCGCCCACCTCTGCCTCCCAAAGTGCTGGGACTACAGGCATGAGCCACCGCGCCCGGCCCCCAGCCCCCTGCTTCACTCTTATACTAGCTGTGTGACCTCTCCTAGCCTCAAGTTCCTCATCTGTAAAATAAGGACAACAATTCCCACCTCGTGGAATTTCTGTGAAGCTGAAAAGAGATGATACGTGCAGGCCCCCTGGAAAGCATACGAATGCCAGGTGCCCCCCATGCCCTGTTCCCCTCCTTGACATGGCCCCTCATTCTGGAACAAGTGAGGGCACAAGTTGGTAAGGATGAAGAAAGCTCCTTCATCTGACCAAACAACTGTCCCCACTTCCTCCTGTTTTTATTGCACAAACAACACAAATCACAAAAAGAGGAAGAGGTCAGGCGCCATCCCACGCCCTTAACGCATCGGTGATTTTTAACTATTTGCTCTCTCCCCTCCTGGCACATGCAGAAATCGTCGCCATCGCAGCGACGACACGGGTTGGGACCCTGTTTGCGCCACTCCCTGCTGTGTCCTAGGCATTTTCCGAAACCATCTTCCTGGAGATGTGGGAGTGGCTGCGACAAAGGGGACGAGGAGGCCAGGCCGCCCCAGCCCAGCCAGCCGGCCAGCACACGGCCCTCGGCCCAGTAGCTGGGGCTCGGGAGGGCGGGGAACACCCTTCTTGCTATGCTCCTTTCAGCTCCATGAGCAGCATATGCTCCAAGCAGAGCAAGTGAAGAACAAATGCCACCCAGTGCCAGCTGGGGTCCCCATCCCGTGAGATCTGGCACCGCCAGGTGGGCTCCCCACTTCGCGCCCGGGAGGCACAGAGCCCTTCTGGGGCCCTGAGGTTTCTGCAGGTGCACGCTCCTCGGCTGCTGGGCACTCGGGTTCTCGCACGTGCTGCCGTTTCTGTCCCCACAACATCAACTCACCCTACGCCACCAAACTCCACACAGAGGATGCCTTGTCTGCTGAGGATGGGGCGGGTGGCATCGAGGCCAAGGAAATGTCCCTGTGGGGCAGTGCCAACAGTTAGTTCCAAGTGGAATACGGCATTTCTCAGAGGGCTCTCAGCCTCTCCGCCCTGGGGAATTTCCATCAGCCACAGCTTTGCACGTGGCCAGAGCCTTCCTCATATTCTCTCCGGTCTCCCAGCATCTCGTGGTGGTATTTTCCCTACCAGGGATTCTGGTGTCAACTGTTAGATGAAAATATTTTCTCTCTCTCTCCCTCTCACTCTCACTTTCCCTCTCCCCCAGCATACACATATGTGAAATATATATATATGAAGAAAATAACCAGCATCCTAATCCCATCTTCTTCCAGGATAAATGCTAGTAACATTGACTAATATATTTTCCAGTATTTTTTTCTATAAATATATACAAAGAAACCCATACACACTCACACATCCTTCTTTTTTAATTGGAATAATACAGCAACGTTTTCATGAACATCCTTCCACATGAATAAATATCCTTCTGTGAGATTATTTTTAATAGAAGAGCTCTTTTGAAAAGTAGAGCTCCCTTTTTGCCTGGGTTTAGAAGCTGCTGGGACTCAGACTGACTTCTCTGAAGAGAGTTACCTGCTTGCAGGGTTGCAAGGCAGCTTGGAGAGGAGAGGTCGTAGGACTTTGCTGAGTCCTTGACACAAGGCTCTACCCACTGGGATTGGACCTGGGCAGAGGAGAATGGCATTCACAATGATGATGATGATATCAATTGCCATTTGTTGTGTACCTACTATGTGCCAGGCATCGTGGCAGGAATTTACACCTGTTATATTTGATCAACCCTCTTAATAAGGCTTTGGGGTATAGGTGTTGTCCCCATTTTAACTTTATTTTCTAATTATCTATTGCTACTACTTCAATTTATTTTTTAAAAATTTGACCTATTCTTTGGGAGGCCAAGGTGGGCGATTCACCTGAGGTCAGGAGTTTGAGACCAGCTTGGCCAACATGACGAAACCCCTTCTCTACTAAAAATACAAAAATTAGCTGGGTGTGGTGGTTCATGCCTGTAGTCTCAGCTACTTGGGAGGCTGAGGTAGGAGAATCACTTGAACCCAGGAGGCAGAAGTTGCAGTGAGCTGAGATCATGCCACTGCACTCCAGCCTGGGTGACAGAGGGAGACTCTGTCTCAAAATAAACAAGTAAATTAAATAAATTTAAAAATAAAAGAGCAAACTTGATTAAAAGCATGAATTTGGGGTGGGTCAGAGAGACCCACCAAAACCCCCATCCAAGCCTTGTTCTTTTGCTTACCAGTTCTGCTACTTAAACTTCCTGAGTCTTAGTTCCATGATCTACAAAATAGGGTTAACAGTACAATCCTGGTTTACAGCTTACAAACATGCTGTGACTTCTTCTGCCTGAAATTCCTTGAGCCCGTCTCTCCCTCCAGCTCCCTGCCCTTTCTCCACAGCACTTTAGAACAGAGTTCCTGGTGGCTCAAGCCTGTCATCCTAGCACTTCGGGAGACCGAGGCAGGTGGATCATGAGGTCAGGGGTTCGAGACCAACCTGGCCAATATGGTGAAACCCCATCTCTACTAAAAATATAAAAAATTAGCCAGGTGTGGTGGCGCATGCCTGTAGCTCCAGCTACTTGGGAGGCTGAGGCGGGAGAATCGCCTGAACCCAGAGGCAGAGGAGTGGCTCCACTGTTGTCAGGTCCCTCTCACCTTCAGCCCCTCTCCCTCTCCTTTCTGTTCCTCTCTGTTCGCTTACAGCCCTCCCCTTCGCCAGAACCTTCCTTCTCAGTCATCATTGACTCCACATCGTTAAACCTATGGGCAGTTCTCATTCCTCACCTCCCTTGATGAATCAGCAGCATCTGACACCCTTGAGCTCTCCCTCCTCCTCAAAACACTTTCTTCACTTGCTTCCAGAACATTCCACACTCTCCGGATCTTCCCCTGCCTCACTGCCATGCCTCCCTAGTCCCTTTCACTGGTTCCTTCTCCAGAACCAGTGGAAACCTGACCTGCAATGATTGGAGTAAATGTTGGAACCCATCATTCAACCCCTCTTCTCCCATCTTCACTCCCTCCACTGGGTGACTTCATTTAGCCACAAGGTTCCGAAGACCGTCTACACCCTCACAACTCCCAGCTTTATATTTCCAGCCTAGACATCACTGAACACGAGTCAACCCCACTTGAATGTCTAAATGGCGTCTCTCTCAAACCAAACTCCAATTTTTCTTTTCTTTTTTTTTAAGACAGAGTCTTGCTCTTGTAGCCTAGCCTGGAGTGCAGTAGCGAGATCTTGGCTCACTGCAACCTCCGCCTCCCAGGTTCAAGTGATTCTCTTGCCTCAGCCTCCTGAGTAGCTGGGATTATAGGCACGCACTGCCACACCCGGCTAATTTTTGTAGAGATGGGCTTTCGACATGTTGGCCAGGCTGGTCTCGAATTCCTGATCTCAAATGATGCACCCACCTCAGCTTCCCAAAGTGCTGGGATTACAGGCATGAGCTACTGTGTCCGGTCTCAAATTCCAATTCTTTACCCCTCTGAGAGCCTCTTCCCCCGTCTCCTCATCGCTGCTCTATCCTTCCCGTTGCTCGCTGGAAATGTTGAAGTTGTTCTGTCTGTCTTTCAATCACTACCCATATCTGATCCATCAGCAAATCTTGCTTCAAAACGTATCCAGAGCCCAACCCTTCTCACTGCCCCAGCGCTAACAGTGGTGGGAGCCAGTCCCATTTCTTGCCTGGAGTACTGCAGTTGGTCTCTAAGCAGCTGGTCTAGTTTTATCCTCTCCCCCCACCATGACCCCCTACCCCACCCCACCCCTGTTCATTTTCTACCTGGCAGCAGCCAGTGACCTGCTAAGCCATCAACAGATCATGGCCCTCTGCTCAGAGCCCTCTGAGACAGAGACACCAAGATGGGGTTAGAGGAGCAAGGGTTTTTTTGTTTTTTGTTTTTTTTTGAGACAGAGTCTCACTCTGTCACCAGGCTGGAGTGCAGTGGCTCGATCTCAGCTCACTGCAATCTCCACCCCCCGGGTTCAAGCAATTCTCCTGCCTCAGCCTCCCTAGTAGCTGGGACTACAGGCGCCACCACCATGTCCAGCTAATTTTTGCATTTTTAGTAGAGACAGTGTTTTACCATGTTGGCCAAGATGGTCTCAATCTCTTGACCTTGTGATCCACCCACCTTGGCCTCCCAGAGTGCTGGGATTTCAGGCATGAGCCACTGTGCCCAGCCTGCTCCCTCATTCTTTCAGCTCTCTTCTTGCATGGGACCTTTCAGTGCCACCTTTTCCTGACTTTTCTTTCAAAATTGCAGCCTCCCTCCTTTCCTGTCCCGTCCCAGCCTCCCCATCTTCCTTCTCTGAGTGCCTCCAGTGTCCTCATGGGCACCTTTTACCGAGTTGATTGTCAGTCTGGAGCTTCCTCCTCGTCCCACACCAGCCTGGCACCCGGCACACAGTAGGTACTCAGGGATCATCCACTCTATGATGGGCAGAAGCCTGTTCTTACTTCCCAGGTGTCTGGGGTTCCACGGAGCCTGGCGCAGGGAAGGGGGGACACCCAGTAGCAGATGTGAGGTGTCAGGATGTGGTCTGCATCCACCTTCAGCAGCGGTGCCCAGAACCCCACCCACCCAGCGGCTCTACCCCAGACCTGCCCGGCCCCAGAGCCCCAACCCGCCCAGCGGCTCTGTCCCAGACCTGCCCGGCCCAGCGTCCTTGACCTTGCTCTCAGCCTCCAGTCCCTCCTGCTCCCGCTCCTGCTCCGAGCTGCAGCCAGAGGGATCTTTTTACACACAACTCTAGTGCCTGGTGAGGAAGGCCTCCGGGGCTCCCCATTGCCACTGCCTGGTCTAGAGTTGAATTGCTTCTCCAAGGAGTGTACTCCTTCCCGAAAAACACCCCTGAATCTCACCCATCACCCTCAATGTCCAAGACCGTCAGACTAGGTCCAGGCCCAGGGATGCTAACCTCAGCTCTGGCCTCAGCCTGCCTGGAGGAAGGCCTTGCCTTCCTCACGCCACTGGCAGTTGGATGACAACTGGGGTCAGCACCATTGCCCACTAGGCATCAGGAGGCAAAGGGCCTGGAGGGCCTGGATCCCAGACAAACAGCCACAGCCCAGCCCAGCCCCAGCCCCCAACCCCCAACCCCCAGCCCAGCCCAGCCCAGTCCCCAGCCCCTACCCCAAAGCCCCTAGCCCAGCTCAGCCCAGCCCCAGTCCCCAACCCCCATCCCCCAGCCCAGCCCCACAAGCGGCCCCCTCCAAGGCCTATGCAATCTCCCAGCAGGCAAACCTAATGGAGGGCCAGGAAGGGATGGTTCAGGGGCTCAGAGGGTGTCCTGTTGTCAAGGCGGCACCCTGCGTTTCACAGCCTGGTGATGCAGGTCAGACCCTGCATATAGATGCATCCCAGCAGGTCAGGCCTTGTCAAAGGCTTCACTCAGCAGCTGCTAATTGGTGGCCACCTCCACAGCCTCCCCTGCCCTCAGCCCTGCAGCTGCTCCGGCTCTGCCCGCTGCACCACTGCCTCTTTGCCCCCTCGCCTACTCCCCCACTGTGTGGGTCAGGGGCCTGCAGGGTCCCAGGGCAGGCTGGTCTTCTCTGGCCCTGCATCGCCTGCCCGCTCTGGGCTCATGTGTTCTGGGCAGCCTGGCTGAGCTGGACAGGAGGGAGGGAACCACCTGTGGGTCCCCAGACCTGCTCCTCTGCTGGGACGCAGGCAGGGAGGCTGCTCCGCTCCCTTCTCTCTGTGACCAGAAATGTCCAGCTCAGAGAGACTGTCAGATCTCGAGACCTCAAAGGGGTCTGGGCCTGAGTGGGTGGAGGGTGGAGGGCACAGGACCACAGAGGAACATTCCCATCCTGGGTGCCAGGGTAGCCAGGGTGCCTGGTGCTCCGGGCAGGTATGAAGGCCACACAAGCCAGGGCAGGCCTTGGAAGTTCCTCCCCACTGGAAATGGGGCTTCTTCCTGGGGCAGCCCTGGTCCCTTCCCTACAAGGAGGCAGGTTGAAAGCCCCTCTCCCTAGGCCCAGCCTATTTCTGGCTCAAAGACCCCTTGAACTCGTCCCCAGGGCCACCCCACCATCCCCGTGCCTGATGCCCTTGAAGTGAGGGTCTCCCAAGCGCCAAATGGTTTGTTACTTGGATTTTCATGCCCAGCTGCCTCTTGGCGCCTGCCTCCCTCCCTCCTCCCCTCCCGCCTCCCGCCCTCCTCCTGCCTCTGAGCACCACCTGTCTCTCCAGCCTGCCTCAGCAACCCCTGCTTGCCTGTTGCCAGGGAAACCGCCTCCTTGGCAACCAGCCGGCATCCATATGACATGTACACTCAGGAAGGAAAGGCTTCTGCTCTTGCTTAGGCTGTTGGTGGGCTCTGCTGTGAAGCCCAACAGGTTCTGAGGGAGGGTCTGTCTGGTCTGTGATCCCACAGAGGGGAGGTGGGCAGGCATCATGCCTCGCTTGACCATTCAACAGCAGCTTATAAAGCACCTTCTACTTGCCTGCCTATGTGCGGGGCCCTCTGCGCACAGTATCTCATTTAATCATGCATTGAACCTGCAAAATAGATGTGATTATTCCCATTTTATAGACGTGGAAACCGAGGCATGGAGCGGTTAAGGGGTTGCCTTTGGCTGGCAGAAGTCAGAGCTGAGATTTGAACTTACCCTTGTCTGATTTTAAAGCCCTGGTTCTTCTTTTTTGAGACAAAGTCTCGCTGTCGCCAGGCTGGAGTGCAGTGGTGTGATCTTGGCTCATTGCAACCTCTGCCTCCCAGGTTGAAGTGATTCCCCTGCCTCAGCCTCCTGAGTAGCTGGGACTACAGGCGTGCACCACCACGCTCAGCTAAGTTTTGTATTTTTAGTAGAGACGGGGTTTAACCATGTTGGCCAGTATGGTCTCAATCTCCTGACCTCATGATCTGCCCGCCTTGGCCTCTCAAAGTGCTGGGATTACAGGGGTGAGCCCCCGTGCCCTGCCAAAAGTCCTGGTTCTTTCTACCACCTTGAGGTCTCTGGTCAGGCATCTCTTAGCTGGGCCAAGAGTGAGTGGGTCCTAGGACACCCGAGTGACGGGGAAGCCCCTCACGATAGCTTGTTGGGTGCTGCTCCCTTTGTAACAAGCACAGCTGTGGGATCTGGAACCCAGAGACAAACTCGGCATGGTCCCTGCCCTCAAGGAGCTCCCAGTCTGGTGAGATGCTGGTGGGAGCAGGATTCTGACATGATCCAGTACAGGAGCCATGAGGCCCAGAGCAGGGCCTCCAGCCACAGCTGAGCTCGACACTCACTCGGGCTTCCTGGGAGGAGGCTTGGGCTGTGGAGAGCCTATGGTCAGAGAGTGGATGGCGGGAACTTGAGATCTCCAGGGAGGCGCATATGGGTGATGGCTACATCCCAGGTGGCCCAGGAGGGGTGGCTGAGGGGAATGAAAGGAAAGTGACAGGCAAGGGGTCTGAGGGGTGTGCTGAGAACCAGGGCTGGACTCTGGAGTGCCCCAGCAGGGCACCGGCCCAATGGCCAGGGAGTGTGACCCCAGTGGGTGCCTGGTTATCCTTGAGTACAGGCTGGGGTGGGGAGAGCTAGAGGGTGCGGGTGGGTGGGAGGGGCATGAAGACAGAGGTCAGGGAGGCATCCTATTGGAGCAGTAGCCACAGGTGTCATTGCAGGGGCCTGCTGGCTGCCAGGCCCTTGAGAGCCTAGGGACAGGCAGGGACAGCAGGAGGAGACCTGGCCCTTCCTCTGGCCAGCCAGGTGGAAGCCTGGATAAAACCTGCCAAGTGGAGCACAAGGCTTTACTGGAGTCCTAAAGCGGGCTTAGGGAGGTGGCAGAGAACAAAGAGGGGTCAGCCCTGTACAGGCAGGGAAGGGGTGAGGTGACTCTGGGAAAGGCGGTGGCAGGTGCAAAGGTGTGGCAGGGCTCCGCCCTCCCCGGGCTCCCATGGCGGAGTGTATAACAGGCAGGGAGGCCAGCTGCTGGGGCTGGGGACTGCCCTTCTGCACACCTGCCCCTGATCTTGGCACCCTTTCTCTTGCAGGCTCTGCAGCGCCGCGAGACCGAGGTCTATGCCTGCATCGAGAGTGACAATGGCAGCCCACCCACCGCCACGCACAGCCCGCTCTCCAAGGTACACAGGCACGGGACCCCAAGCCCAGCTTCTCACTGCATCTGACCCTCCCATCATGGGTGAAGTGGGGGGCAAATGGGACATGGAAATGAGCCACCTGCTGTGGAATCCCAGCCCTCTCCTGGTGGCAGCTGGCCTGCTGGTTAGGACTGGAGGGTTTGAGTTCCTGCCCCATCCCTTAGCCACTGTGCAGCCCTGGGTGAGGCAACTAACTTCTCAGTGTCTGAATCTCCCTGTGTGCAGACTGAGCCACCTAACCGTACCCACGTAGGAGATTTTCTGTGAGGGTAGAAGGTTGTACTGAGGGAGCTGCCTGGGACCCGCTGTGCCCACGCACTGTGAGCCAGTGTAACTACCACGGGCATGGTGTCCACACTGGCCAAGCACAGGGGGTGTTAGGCTTCCAGCTGCCCCCAGGCTGGTGTTGGCTCAAGTCTGGAGCTAGAGTGTGAGCTGTTAGAAGCTGGGCTTCGGGTCAGGTTCTGCGATGGTCATGATAGTGCCTCAGGCGTATTACGCCACCATACCTTCTCTCTTAAACCTGTTTGCTCATCTGTAAAGTGGGTGAGCAATGCTTTCCTGCAATACCAACTGCTCCTGAGTTCAGATGTGTTCCAAGTTGAGTGACATCTGCGGCAGAGTTTTCAGCACTGTGAAGTGTGAGGTGTCATTCAGCCAGAACAGCAGCTCATGGGCATCTTGGAGCACCCATCAGGGAGGGCGGGCAGCTGGCACTTGGGCTTCTGGCCCAGGCCGGCACTATTTGTTAAATTGCCTATTCTTGTAGCCCTTTCTATACTCAGCCCTCAACTAGACCCCGAGTGAAAGCAGGGTTTCTCCTGGCCTGGGACCCCCGGGGATGTCTGGGCCATCGCAGGCAGTGCCCACCCTGTGCCAGGCCCTGGGGTGCTGGTCAGGAGAACTAGGCATGTCCCTGGCCTCTGGGAGCTACAGTCTGTAGGAACAGGTCACTGACCCCATGGACACACAGCGGTATTTGTCGCCCTGTTGTGAGGGGTGGTATTCTGGGAGGGACCAGCCAGGGCGGGGAGGGGGGAGGGGGTCCTGGGACCCTACCATGAGCCGGTAACCAGATGAATAGGCAGTCGGAACAGGTGAGTCTATAGGAGGAGTCGCTTCCCAGACAGAGGGCAGAAGGCTGAGAGCAGAGCTGTGGGGGAAGCTCTGAGGCTGGAAGGGGAGGCCCATGTGGCTGGAGGGCAGAGAGCAGGAGTGGGGGCAGCGTGGTGCGGGAAGAGGCTGGGAGGTGGTTTTGGAGACAGAGGGCAGGCCCTCCATCCAGGCTACACAGGAAGTGATCTGTCGCCCTCTGGCTAAAACTAAATGAGTTCAAGTTCATTCTTTTCCACCTAACGGTCATTTTCTCTTTCTCTCCCTCCCTCCCTTTCTTCTTTTCTATCCAGGAGAAACTGCATAGATTCCAAGATGAAGATGAACTTAACCTGGTCTATGAAAACCTCTAGAATGGGCTCCACGGCCTGCAGAGCTTGCCCTGGGTCAGAGGACCGGGCAGCCCCTGCCACCAAAGGACTTGACCTGAACTGGGAGAAAGGCCCCCAGAGACACCCCATCATCTCACCCTCACATTCAAGGCCCTTTCCGCCTTGGCTGGCCCCGCTCCCCCTATTCTGTGACTCGGCCACCAAGGGTTTCACATCTTGGGGCCTTTGCCCAGGCTGTTCCTTCTGCCAAGCAGTCCCTTCCTCCCTTGGCCCAACCAGCAGTGCTCCTCAGTCTTCAAGGGGTCTCCTGGGTGCCACCCTTGCCCGGAGCCCTGCTCACCACCTCTCGCTGACAGAGCAGCGTGCTCTCTTGGCACCAGCCTGCACCTCGGCCAGCAGGGCAGCCTCTGAGCTGAGGGAGGACCCGGCAAGGGCTTCTTAGCAGTGCTGTGTGGGGAGCTGAGGTGTGGAGGGGCTGGGGAGTGGCTGCGCAAACCCCCACTTGCCCAGCTGGGCCAGAGGCATGAGGCAGCCACCCAGGGCTGGCGTGGGAGGTCCGCGGGACGGACAGGGATGATGGACCCCTGCAGAGGCCAGACTGGTATCAGGGACAAATCTAGAGGTCTAGAACACAGCAGGCTGGGGACCTGGAGCAGAGAGGGCATGGGTACAAGCTGGTGAGGAAGCAGATTCTGGGGTGTTTGGGGTGAGGGCAGAGGGACCGATGAGGGGAGGAGGGCACTGGCTAAACAGGAGCTGAAGGCTGAGCACGGCGGCCCATGCCTGTGATCCCAGCGCTTTGGGAGGCTGAGCGGGCAGATCACGAGGTCAAGATATCAAGACCATCCTGGCCAACATGGTGAAACCCCATCTTTACTAAAAATACAAAAATTAGCTAGGCGTGACGGTGTGCGCCTGTAGTCCCAGCTACTCAGGAGGCTGAGGCAGAATTGCTTAAACTGGGAGGCAGAGATTGTAGCGAGCTGAGATCACACCACTGTACTCCATCCTGGCGACAGAGTGAGACTTCGTCTAAAAAAAAAAAAGGAGCTGAATGGATAGCCTGAAGCTCCCCCTCCCCTAAGGGTCCCCACTCCCATTCATTGGCCTGTGTCATTTCCTTGGTCACCCTCAGGCCTTCCCCACGGCCGGGCCTCAGCCATCCCTCCTTCCACCCAAGGTGCAGTGCCCCAAAGCCCCTTCTGTCTGGCCTGGCCTGTGCCCACCATTTGTGGTGTCACCCAGCCCTCCTGCTCTGTCTTTACCTGCTGTAAGCCCAGCCCTGGTCCCCTGTGGATTGAGGTCCCAAGTGGTCCAGCTGTAGGGTTTGGTGCTGGGACCCTCATGGGCAGCTGAAGGATCCCTCTGAGGCAGAAGCTCAGGCCCAATGGGGACAGTGACTCCCCAGTGCCTGGCCCTGAGCCAAGTCTGCTGTTCTGAGTGCCCACATCACCTCATTTCCTCCTCACAGCAGCCCTGCACTGCGGCCAGAAACCCATCCCCAGGCAGGCAGCAGCTGGGTCGAGGTGTTCCTGGGCTGTCAGGCTCTGCCTCCTCTCTCCCCTCCCGCACCGCCCCCCTGAATTCTCCCACCTTTGCTCATTTGTGAAATGGGCCAGTCAATCCTCCCACCCCACCTTGTGGGCTGCCCCAACCCCAAATGTGCCCAGGGAGGGTGGGGAGCCCAAGGCACAGGCCCTGCCCCTGCCCCCAAGCAGCACGGGGTCACCAGCTGGCAGAAGCACCTTCGGTTCTGCAGGTCAGGGCCCTCCCTGCAGGGATGGGAAGGCTAGTGGTAGACGCTGGGCACTGACTGACCTCCAGAAGTCCCCGATCCCACAGGACAGCCAGTGGCCTCCCAGCTTGTTTGGGGCACCTGCCTGAGACCACACATGGTGAAGAGGGCTTTAGCAGGCTAGCAGGACCAAGTGGCAAGGCCCCTGCTCCCAGAGGCTGGATTTGAACGAACTCGGGGCCTGTGTGAGGCGAAGCTGGTAGGTGTGCGCGGCGGCCTCCCAGGCTCCTGGCTCCACCAGCCTGAGGTGGGGGTGAGGGTCAGGGCAATGGGGGTCAATGCTACTCAGGGTGCAGTGAGCTGCTCCAGGAAATCCGGAGCCAGCAAGACAAGGAGAGGGCCCCCGCGCTGGGCCTGCCTCCCCCACCTCCTGGGCCTCTCTAATCTCAGCTCCCAGACCCTGGACCCTCCAGCTGGGACTCAGCATTTTCCAGTGTGTTTCAGGGCTAGAGAGGGGAGCCTGGAGGGAGCTTTACCACTGTGCCCTGGCCCAGGCGTCACCAACACAGCCTCCTGCAGCTGCCCTGCCCCCAACAGACCCCGATGAAACCCACACCTGGCCTTGGACCCCCCTGCTCCACACCTTGCATGGGTTTTGCCTCACTTGGAATAAAATTCCAACTCTTACCTGTGGCCTAGGAGGTTCTTGGGGGCTGAGCATCACCCCTCTGGTGGATGTAGACATTGCCAGCATGGTGGTCAGCTGTGCTTGGTTCAGGGCAAGGCTGGGAGGCGGTGGGTGCTGAGGTCTTCAGTGAGCAAGGAGAGAGGCTGGGAGAAAAAGGAGGAGGAGGAGGAGGAGGAGGAGGAGGAGGAGGAGGGGGTAGCATGGAAGGACAGGACCCTAAAGGGCTTTGACCCAAGGGAGAGTGGGGCAAGAAAGTTCCAAGACCTCTGTGGGCGGCAAAGAGGACTGAACACCTGTTCTGAGCCCCCAGGAATGACAGCCTGCAGAGGTGAGCTGGCTCAGAGCAAGGGGTGGCAGTGAACTTCAGGGTGGGAGGCGCAGGGGGGAGTGGGTGGGGGGAGGAAGAACAGAAAGGGGACGGAGAGGGCAGGAATGTGAGCTGCTGGGGTGCAGGCTTGCTTTCCACTTGGAATGGGTAGAGGAGAGAAGAGAAGAAAATGGCTTTTGAGAGCATCACAGCCTCCACCCCCAACAGCCTTGTGGCCTTGGCAAGTCCCTGGCCACCTAAGCCTCAGTTTGCAGTGACAGTCAAGACAGCTCAGGCCAGACATGGTAGTTCCTGCCTGTGATCCCAGCACTTTGGGAGGCTGAGGCGGCTGTATCACTTAAGGCCAGGAGTTCGAGACCAGCCTGGTCAACATGGCGAAACCCCAGCTCTACTAAAAATACAATTTGCCTGGTGTGATGGTGGGCACCTGTAGTCCCAGCTACTCGGGAGGCTAAGGCAGGAGAATCGCTTGAACCCGGGGGGCAGAGGTTGCAGTGAGCCGAGATGGCTCCACTGCATGCCGGCCTGGGCAACAGAGCGTGACTCTGTCCAAAAAAAAAAAAAAAAAAAAACTGCTCAGTGTCTCTCAGAAAGGAGAAATTGGGACTCCCTGGCTCCCTGGCTCAGGCAGAGGCTCAGTGGGTGTGCATTTCCTTCAAGATTCGTCCTTCAGAAGAAACAGGCTGCTGGGGCAGTGCAGAGGGTGTAAGTGACGAGCAGGCCTCCCTGGGAGCTGGGGCCCGGGCTCTGCAGCCATGCCTGTAAGGACTGCCTGCAGGGTAGCACGATCAGGGGGACAGGCCAGGGCTGCCCAGAGCTGGGGGTGGGGGCAAGGCGAGCAGAGAGGTGAACGGAGGAGGATGCTGGCTCAGCAGGAGCTGAATGAATGGGCCTGGAGAAGAGCTGAGAGGGGGGTGGGGGTGGCTTGAGCGGAGTAGCTGAGGCCCAGGTGAAGGGGAGCCAAGGGCCTTCCAGGAAGGACGGATGTGAGCAGTCCTGAGCGGGATGGGCTTAGGGCGGGGAAGGGAAGCCCCAGGCAGCCCCTGCAGGCTCCGGCCCAGGTCTCTGAGTCTCAGCCAATGCTTCCCTCTGCCCACTGCCCCCTGTCCTGGTGGGATTTCCCACCATCTCCCCACCCAGCCTGCCCTACCCTCCTAGGTCTTCCCAACCTTGGCCCCCACAGACACATCTCAGCCACGTCTGGCACCCCCAGGCTTCCCTGCCTGCCTTCCCTGCCTGCCTCTAGGAAATTGACCCCGTCAGTGGGTTTCAGCCTTGTCAAACCCTCTCTGCTTGGCTCCTGCTCTGTCAGCACTTGCTTGAGAAAATCATCCTGGGAAACCAGCCTCTGGGAGCAGGGGCCTTGCCCCTCAGTTCTGCAAGCCTGCCAAAGCCCTCCCTGCCTTGTGTGCTCGCAGGCGGGGGCCCAGAACCAAGCTAGGAGGCCACTGGCTGCCGTCTGGGGCCACCCTAGCAGGGGGCCCAGGGACTTCTTTTGGAGGTCAGTCTGTGGCCAGCGTCTACCACCAGCCCAGAAACTGAAGTGGGTGCAGGAAGCGGTGTTCCCTCCTCAGCAAACATTTCCAGAGGATTCTGGCAGCAGAGTTTCCATGGGAACATGTGCTGGTTCTCCGCTGAACCCAGTGGGGCTGGGGTTCCCTTCACAGCCAATATTGTGGACCTGAGCCTGGTGGCCTTGGCCAGGGTGGGCAGTGCTCTCTGGCCACCCACTCTCACAAACCTGAGCTCAAGTTACAGGCAAAACCTGCTTTTCCTTTTTCTTTTTTTTAAAAGCACATTCAAATTTAAAGGCCACGTTCCATTCTAAAGACGCCTCTGGGATTTCAGAGATGGATTTTTGTGTAGTTCAATAGTTTTCTTGGCAGACAGCTTACGCAGGAGGGGTGGCTCAGTCCAGCCAGGATGAGTGGCATCACTCCGTTCCCTGAAACGCCAGGGGATGTCATTTGCCCACCTGAGGGGCTTCCCCAGTCTTAAGCACTAGGCTGTGGTCAGAATGATGGCCTCAGCCTTGACCGAGCACAGGTCAGGCCAGACTCTCTGCACTTGCTGTTAGCGTGTGTGTTGTGTGTGTCTGGAGGTGACATATGTGGGTGACGCAGGCATATGTTGCAGTAAAACATTAAAACTACAGCAAAGTGGAATTCCCCCGATGCACCTGCCACCTCCCAGCCTCCCTACCCCTCCCCTCCGCAGCAGTAACCAACCGGGTCATTTGGGAGTGTTCTCTTCGTTGCTGCTTTGATTGCATCTGGGCGCATACCTGTGAACATGGGAGACGGAGCTTCCGCACAGCCAAGATGGACTCATTATGTAGGTGTTGTTTGCACTTGCTTTGTTGATGCAGCCCCACGTGGTGGGATCTGCCGGAGATGGAGACAGCACACAGGAGCTGCCAGACTCCAGTTACAGCAAAGGATCCTGCAGGACAGATGGATCCTAATGTAATCAGGCCCTTATTGAAGGCCTTTTCAGTTGTTTATGATTTTTCAACCTCAACACAGAAGCGGCTGGCTGCAGGGGATATCCTTGTACACACACATCTGCAAAACTTTCTCCATGGGAAATGAGAAGGGATTCCTAGGGCCCAGGGCGTGGAAAATTCACTGTTCTAACAGTCACTGCCAAATTGTCAGCCCTGAAGTTGGACTGGTTTATATTCCTAGGACTCTTTATCTAAAATATCTCATTTAATCCTGAAAATAGGTCAGGGATGGTGGGCAGGGGTGATCTCCCCATTTTACCGAAGCAGAAGCTACTGCTCAGAAAAGCTGACTGGCTCCAGGTCACACAGCCCAGGAGGAGCAAGGCTGGACTGCTTTGGCGGGTGTGCAGTCCTGCTATCGCCAAGGCCAGGTGGGGCAGGGGATGGGGGAGGGGATGGGGGAGACAGAAAGAGCCACTGAGAGATGTGGTGCCCCCAGGACTAGGGAAGCCCATAGAAAGACAGATTTCCTTCAGTGATGGTCTGGCAGCCTCACATTCCTCATACCCAGTTTCTCAGAAGTGTGTGTGTGTGTGTGTGTGTGTGTGTGTGTGTGTGTGAAGTTGGGGGAGTCCTCCTGCCTTCCGGTGGTCTATCTCCTTGGGGAAATGGAGGAAGGTCCTTAGAGACGCAGGGGTTGGGC